GTTAAGGATTATAGGACAAATGACGACGCTAAAGAAATGAAATAGTATAAAGTGAACAGGAAGAAAATACATCGTCTTGTATATAGTACTGTACTATCGTGTGGCATGATTCATGCCTAGGCTAAGTATGTATTAGTATAATGAAACTCATTATGAAAGTATACTATGCATAAAAAAATCATATTTCACTGTTAGTCTATGTATATTGTTGTATAATATCTTTATTGTTAATATAGAAAGGCACGGTGACAGGTGTCACCTGCAGAAGAAAGGATAAATGAGAAAAGAAAAAGAGTGGACAATCAGACAGATGATCAAGATTAACACCTGACAATGCTGATACAGTATTATTTCTAAACAAAAATATGGTTTAGAGAATAAAAACGGACAAAATTTCACTTTTTGGTTTCTTTTTCCTTTTTTTGTATTAATTTCTGTTTTAAATAAAATTTATTTTCATGAAGATTATTTTTAAGAGTACTGCTATAGCAACATTATGACATATGCGAATGATCCCACAGAATTTATGTGATTTTTTCTGCTCTAAAACCTTAGACAAAAAGTCATTGTCAACAACAGGTTTGTGTGCATGTGGAAAGACAGAGACAGTTCAGTATTATCTACTGGAGTGGGTGTTATTCCACGGCCAAAGAAAAATTCTTATAAAGGAAATCTCAACAACAAAAAATGCTCCTACCCTTAGTCTTGATCTTCTTTTACTAAATGTATGTCTTTCGAAGGAAGATTTCTCATGTATATATCGTGCAGTAATAGACTATATTTGTACAACAAAAAGATTTATAGACGAACAATAACGGGTCCTTTTGTTCTCTCTTTCGTTGTCATTTCACTTCTTGCTAAACAAACTTTTTGTTTCTCTGTGTGTCTGCCTGAATCCTGGACTTTCATGTATTATTGTTTCGCTCTACCATACTATACTGTATACTGTATAGTATGGTTTTTTAGTCTATACTGATAGTCTAGTGTATTTATGTATAGTCTGTACATAAATGTATTTTATATACTTTGACGTTATTTCGTTAAGGATCATTCACTTACGTTAAGAATTGCGCGTAATAAACGTAACTCCTTCGTTTCGTACGGTAAGAAAAAATACTTCCTTACCGCCCTACGTTATCTTTTCTCTTTCCTTTACTTCTACCGTCACCCGTGATCTTTATATTGTACATGTATAGGTCACGATGGACGAAAGAACAGAAACGATAAAAATGACGCTTGTTACGTCTTACGGCCCATCACTAATCATGTAGATAGATCAAGTGGATAACGATGCAGATTGGAGCTATGCTCTTATCTAATATCATCGGACGACCATAGCTCAATCAAGCTGGTCATCAGCATTTTTGCTGAAACTTTTCAGAGTGGAACAATCCACGTTGTTCTTCATATAAGAGTAGATTTACCAGGAACCCGCTCGAACGCGTTTATTTTTCTGAGAACGCGTTCCTAGTCCATAAAACGTGTTCCGTTCTTTCGAGAACGCGTTCTTGGTCGTTGTTTTTGAATAACTTTTTTTCATGGGTAGCTATTTCGCAAACGAAGCTGTAAGCTGGTAGAGCAGACTAAATTAACGTGGATTAGCACTAATTAGTTATTAACAAGAAGAAAAGAGGAATTTTTTTCCTTTCTTTCGCTTAGCAGATATTCTCGCACATTTCTCTATCGATCTAGGTAAGAACCAACTTTTTATGAGGAATTTTTTCCTACTGCAATTTTTCTATTTTCGTAGTCATGCTTGTGTCATTGCGGTATTAAACCGATGACTAACAAGAGAAATCTTACGTAACATAAGATTTTCCAGCTGCAGTCGAATTGCGGTTGAGAAAGATTGGAGCAAATCACAGATATATAAGACTAACAACGGAAAGGTACTGTACTTTCTCTTTAACAGTCAAACTATCAGACAATGATGGCTACTGCATGTCTCGAACAACTACCAGATGAATTATTGTTGTTGGTATTCGAACACTTCCTGTCATGACTTGTTTCTATTGTTTGAACTATTGCCGAATCTCAATCGGCTGCATGTTTGCGTGAATAAATGCAAACAAACAGGATGGTACGCCTCTCTCAAATTCCCTCTTCATCTTGAAACCATTGACTATTATGCGTTGATTGTCAGTCTATCGAACGCTTATTTTCGTCAAATTTTTGGATAAATAAAATGCATACATGTGTTTGTTGCTATGCAAGCAGAAATATTCACTATTTGGATACACTACCATATTGTTTCCTGAAACATAATGATTCGTTGACAACATCAATATTGCAATATGATGCTATTGAAACAAGTATAGAGTGCGTGTTTAAACCAGTGTATCGACTGAGTGTCGATGATGATTATCATCAATCAAAAATGTCACAATGATTTGACATTGTTAAACAATTTCCACTCCTTCGAGATCTACCTTTGCGTAATATTAACGTCCCAGAACAAGAAGAAGAAGAACCAGTATGTTGTATTCCAGTGTTGCCTCATGTACGTCGGTTACATATATGTCGGTCACTGCACAATCAGACAAATCTTCCATTTTTTTGGACAATTACTTCGAATGCTGCCAAACCTATGTTCACTCCATATATGTTATGCTGAAGTGATGTGTATTCACAAAATTTACCTCAATCACATCACACATCTTGAAATATCGTTACACGGATGTGACGGTCAAATACAACTCGATGACGTTCGTATTATATCGGACTTGTTTCTAAATTTGAAACGTTTAAAGTTCAATCTGCACAGCGACGATGCGATGCCATGAAACGTAGTAACCGAGAAAAAACATTACGCGATTTGTTAAACTCTTTTAACAACCTAATTAGTTTTGAAATGATATGCTCACAGATTTAAAATTTCACTTTTTAGACAACCACTGGTATAGTCTTCATAAAAATAAAGTTTTGTACTATGGTTGTAAGCAGTCAGTTACAAGTCTCAGGACATTGACACATTCATGTGAAACCTTACTTTTGTATCTAGTAAAAAATCTTTCTTCATTCCTTTTAGGCAACTTTTATATAAGTAGCAATATTGTCTTGTACTTTTGCTTTTCTTATATGAAATATAGACTCTTTTAATGGGCTTTATCATACAGCAAAAGAATCATATTCTGACATTCTATAAATAATCCAATAATAACCTCGTAGACGCTTGTGGCAGATGCCTGATAGAGTTGTGTAACTATTGTGTAGAGTTGTGTAACTATGTAAGTTAAGCCGGAATAATACCTTGTGAACTATAAACTATAGAAAACATGGAAAAAAATATACTGTTGTTTTCAGACTATTTCTACATATTCGTGTAGCTCTTTCCACAGGTTATTGATTGCATTAATAATAAATCTTTTTCGATCAAAAAAATTTAGTTGATGATAACTATCTTTGAAAATAATTAATTTTTTTAATGCAGTAATAAGTTACCAAGGTCTAGAAAATATGGAGAAGTACATAACATTAAATTCTCTATCAATGTAGGTCGAAATACAAACATTTTGAAGAGAGGCCGATTTTTCTCGGATTTTCAATACCGCCCTTCTCTGAAATGAAACCTCTCAACGTAAGTAATGCTCAAAGCTTCGAACTAGCTCAAAGTTTACGCAAACGTTCTTCTGTCATTAATTTAGCACCAATTGGCGTTATCTCGTCTGAATCTCTGCACTGGTTTGCAAGAAAAACCTTGAGCTTTGTTTTCTTTATCAAAAATACGTTTAAAGAAAATAACAGATTTGACCGAACCCCGCATAACATAAATTTTGAGACAAATTCTTTCTACCTGAAAATTTTGGTCGAAACATTTTGCGTCAGGCCACTCCTCTCAGAGATTTCGAGAAAGAGTTTTTTGTACTATTTTCTTTATAGTATAATGATGACCGAAAAGCATTGTCCGAAATGACTTTAAACTGTGTAGACGACAATCATCTTTTCCCAGCTAGCGTGTATAGAAATGTATGCTACGGTACAGAGGATTTGGATGATGTATGGATTTCTATGTAATCTAAAAAAAGTTGAATAACTTCTTTCTTAAAGTATGCGAATAAAAAGACTAAAATTTAGTTGTTTTTTGGGAATCCAAGAGAGTCACTCTTTATGTCGTAGAATTAAGTTTTTAGTAACTGTATTATACAGAGAAGATTTCGTGTACGATGCAGCTGATTCTTGTGCTTTTACTCAAGAATAAAATCTGAAAGCGCTTCAGAAAGTTGCCTGTTCTGGAGCTTTTCAGTGTTGGTCGGATAACTAATACATTTTGTGATAAAACACTTCATATAGTTTTTGTAATCACGTTCTCGGCACATCTTCTCGCATACTGACTGAGTCTTTTACACGAAGGAAAAAACAATTATAGCCATGAGACTGATACCGCAATTTATTCTGAAACACCCGGAAGCTTAAAATATGTTTTTCTGCAGATAGACTTAAACTCTCGTTTATTAAGCCTATTTAAGTCCATGTAAAGGAGAAAATATCGCCATACGAAGAATTTTGGCTTTTTAAAAATGTGCAAAAAAGTCACCATGCCGGAGCTATGCAACATTTCGATGAAAAAGCGATACTAACATCAAACGAAAGGCAGTCAATTTTGATATTGGGAATAGCTCGAAAGAACTCGTTCACGAGTATAATTCATGAATGATGTATCGGTTTTGAAAATTTCACACAAAGATTTATCTCTACCAGTCGTTATTGCAGTTGATGACTGATGAGAATACACTGAAGTGTCAGTTTTAGAATTTCTCATAGTTACATTTTTTCTATTTTCTCTCGTAGATTTCGAAGGCATTAAAATGAGATGTTTTTATTTCTTAAAACAACAGTACTGTTAGTTAAATAACACTAAGCAAATTCTTTCAACTATCACTAAACTTTAACAATAGGATCGATGAGTTAACAAATAAACAGAAAACATTGCACAAGAACGAAATTATGACAAATTAACCGCGCTCACACGTAATAAATGAATTTTTGCTACAGCTAAATAATCACTGAAAGCATCGTAGTTGAAACCGATGACGTTTCACGTTGTCGTCATTGATAAATTTTAACATTTTTCGCAGAAACTTTCTTGTAACATGCTTTACTCTTTCTTCTTTCGTCTTGATTGGTTTTTCCTTCTTTTCTTCTGACTTGAAAAATGAATAATTGCGCATATTAGACAGAGAATTCAGATAAGTAAAATCCAGTAAAAATAATGGAACAATTTGCGATTCTTCGTGCAATACGATGATGTCTCCATATTGTTGACGTACCTTTCCATGCTTGTCTATGTATGGAATAGCCGCGCATATCAACATTGTGTTTGTTAAACGAGCATATGACAACGAGTAGTCGGCCTTTTGACTACAATAAATACCATTACCATGTGCCTTTCCGTTCGTCATTCCAATTACTGGCGCTGCCTTATTAGTTGGATGTTGTCTATGAGGAATCAACAGACCATAATCCAGAATACTCTGTAGATTGATGACGTTAGTTCCGTGAAAAACCAGTTTTGGAAATTGGTAATCATTCTTTAACTTATGCATGAACTGGGTCTCAACACATTTGGCTAACGATGTCAGACGAATATCAGTGATTTCAATGTCAGTTCGAGCGTTAAACGCTGATTTAATCGATTGTGAGTTGACTGTATAAAAATGACGACGAAACAGCGCAAAATCAGTCAAATGTTCGGGTTTGAGCTCCTTGGAAAGCAGCTTTGGTTGTTGAGCTGATTCGATAATCTCGCATTGTTTTTTGGGCTCAGGCTCAGCTTTTTTCTGTTTGATTGTCTTTTTATGTTTTCGCTGTAGCAACGCCGTTTGGCATTTAGTCATTGGTATAGTAGGAAGTTCAGCTGAAAGTACTTTATTTGCAGGAAATTGAGTTTGTTTTTCTTCTGATTTCTCAAATTCTACATCACACTGGAACATCTTTGCTGATCGCCATTGCCTGTTATAACGATATTTTTTCGGTGTGGCTTTCGGTGTTTTCTCATAAGATTGGCAGCGACTTCTCAGAGAAGTAATAGACGATATGGCAGATCTAATAGCAGTTGATGATTGAAATTTTTGTTTATTTTTGGGTTTATACTTGATAGATTGACGAGATTCAAAAAGATAGATGTCATCATAAAAATCATGATCAGTCGAATCGTCATGGCACTCGGACACAAATGCATCATCCGGATAAGATATGCAATCGTGAACGTAATTATTTTCAACATAATTACTTTTGTTTTCGTTATCATACGCCATTTCTAGACTAACTTCTAAAAAAATAAATGTTAAAATCAAGATTAAGATAAAATGGACCATTTTCATAGTTTAAACTTATACGAAAGAGCAACTGACACTTATGGGTAACCATAGACTTTCTGAAAATAGCCGAGATAAACTGTCAAAAGGCACTTTTGGAGCCAGCTTTATATCTCAAAAGCCTAAACCACTTACGACCTGAAAAGATGTATTCAGTAATGAATGTTTTAGATACTTTCCAATATTTATTCAATCTCTCATATTTCAAACCGAAAGTTCGAAAAGAAAATCGAAAAAAGCAGATAGACTGAATTTTTTTATATTAATTCACTTAATGTTTTCTAGAAAGTACACGGTTGGAAATAATATTTTTCCAGAGGGGTAGAGCTGAAACTACAAATGATATAAAAATTTATTATATACCAAATTAATGTTCATCTAAAATGGAATTGATGTG